CTGGTAGATGACTTTTTGTTTAGATTCAAGGTCTCTAATCTCTTAGTAATCCATATCCTCTAGTAGGAATCTGAGAATCACTTAAAAATGTCTTTACAAGATCATTTCAGCCTGATCAGTATTCAAAGATAATCCAGTCTCCCTCTTCGTTAAGAAGAAATATTCTATATAACCTGGTTCTCTCCATCTCATAATGACCTCTACCTGGATTTCAAAAGAATGGCTATGGGAAACTGGCATTTATTAACAGATATTCCTTTCTAAAATCCTCACTGAGTGCTGTGCTAGGAGCTGGGTATGCAATGAAAACTTTTTTTAAAAACTCCAGTCGTTGGGCATATGAACTGTGCTATACTCTTTTTTTCTTTATTTTTATTGTTGATGCTATTATATATGTCGCCATTTCCCCCACCTCTGCCTGCCTCCACCAAGCCCCAGACCCTCCCCTTTCCTCTGGCCATCATCACAATGTTGGCTGTGTCTATGAGTTATGTAAATACATTCTCTGTCTAATCCCTTCACCTTCTTTCATCCAGTGTCCCCCACCCTCCCTCTCCTCTGACAGCTGTCAATCTGTTCCATGTGTCCATGGCTCTCTTTCTATTTTGTGTGTTAGTTTATTTTGTTCATTAGATGCCACATATAAGTAAGAACATATGGTATTTGTCATTGATAAGAATGCAAACTGGTAAAGCCACTCTGGAAAACGGTATGGAGCATCCTCAGAAAATTAAAAATAGAACTTCCTTTTGACTCAGTGATCCCATTTCTGTGAAGGTATCTTAAGAAGCCTGAAATACCAAATCTAAATATATGCACCCCTAAGTTCATAGCATCATTATTTACAATAGTCAGTATCTGGAAACAGCTCAAGCACACACCAGTAGATGAGTGAACAAAAAAGCTGTGGTACCTTTACTCAGTGGCATACTACATATCTGTAAAAAGGGGCCCTGGCTGGTGTAGCTCAGTGGATTAAGTACAGACTGCAAACCAAAGGGTCATCAGTTCGATTCCCAGTGGGGCACATGCTTGGGTTATGGGCCAGGTCTCCAGTGGGGCCCATGTGAGAGGTAACCACACACAAATGTTTTTCTCCCTCTTTCTACCTCCCTTCTCTTCTCTCTAAAATAAATAAATAAAATCTTCAAAAAAAAAAAAAAGGAACACTTACCTTTTGCAACAGCATGGATAAACCTGGAGATTATTATTTTAAGTGAAATAAACCAGTGCGTGAAAGACAAATACACTGTGCTATCTTCAACCTCAAATGGTTTACCTTTTGTTATCTCCAATTCTCATAATTCTTTACTTAGGTATTATCACTCCCAAGTTATAGGTGGGAATAGAAGTGAATGACTAGTTAATGCTTGTATAGTTAGTAAATAGACCTTGGATCCAAAGTGTCCCTTTTGCTACACAATACCAGTATTCCACTTAGAGTTCTTAAGCCTCAGTATCTATATATTAATTTGAGGACTATAATTATCTAATGTCTAATATTTATATAATCTGAGATATGAAAATATTTTAACTTTAAACTATTGTTTATGTTCTGGGTTTGACAAGGGGAAGTTATAACTCCAATGTGTGCTCCTTATTTAAAACATTTATGATGTCACTTTTTGCCTATGGGTCACTAACATATTATCCTTTTACATCTAAGTTTATATTTTTAACTTACACATTTAGTTGTTAAATCTATATGAAGTCAACCTTTCTAAGAAGGTGTTAGGTAGAGATTCAGATTTACCTTAGCCTCATACTAAGTCAATTTTCAAAAATATAGCCAACAAATATTCTTTTGCAATAGAAAAAGTTTTCTCTATAATCCTCTTTTTCTGAATTTTGTTCCCTAGATAGATGTTTACTTTTGTTTGCTTTCACAATTTGTAGTTGTTTATTTAGAGTAACAGAAATATATTGGGGGTTTTACAGGAATTTTTATAGGTAGCAAAAAATGGAAGCTCAAAAATTCTCCTGAAGTCAGTAAATACAATTTGAGTAAACATCAGCTTTGAAGCTTGTTAGCTTGCATGGATTACCATATTTATTTTATTTTCATTCTCTTGGGATGCTTTAACTATCTGTTTAGTGATATAGCTAGGGAATTATTTTTATACTTTATTTTCCTCTACTTTTAGTTGTTTTTAGTGAAGATTTTAAGGATGCTAAATTCATCATACCAACTCAAATAGTCCTATAAGTCCAAAAAAGTCCTATAAGTTCTTCTTTAGGTTTTGTTAAATTCCTTTTTTTAAATTTTCTTTCATCCCAGATTTTTGAATTATATATTAACATCCTTATTTCCAGGCTTTCTTTTTATTTTATTTTTTTAACATTTTTTACTGTTCAAGTACAGTTTTCTGCCTTTTCCCCCCACCCCTCCCCACCATCTCAACCCTCCCCACGTCCCTCCCCTGATCCCACCCCCCTTGTTATTGTCCATGTATACTTTACAGTTGTTCCTGCAAACCCTTTACCCTTTTCCCCCATTATCCCATCTCCCCTCCCCTCTGGTCACTGTCAGCCTGTTCTCTATTTCAATGTCTTTGGTTATATTTTGTTTGCTTGTTTGTTTTATTGATTAGGTTCCTGCTAAAGGGGAGATCATATGGTATTTGTCTTTTATTGACTGGCTTATTTCACTTAGCATAATGTTCTCCAGTTCTATCCATGCTGTTGCAAAGGGTAGGAGCTCCTTCTTTCTTTCTGCTGCATAGTATTCCATTGTGTAAATGTACAATACTTGTTTCATCCATTCATTTACTGATGGGCATTTGGGTTGCTTCCAGCACTCGGGTATTGTACATTGTGCCGTTGTGAATATTGGGGTGCATAGGTTCTTTTGGATTGGTGTTTCAGGGTTTTTAGGATATAATCTTGGCAGTGGAATTTCCAGGTCAAAAGCAATTACATCTTTAGTTTTCTGAGGAAATTCCATACTGTTTTTCATAGTGGTTGCACCAGTGTACAATTCCACCAACAGTGCACTAAGGTTCCCTTTTCTCCACAACCTCACCAACACTTGTTATTTGCTTTGTTTATGATGGCCATTCTCAATGGTGGGAAGTGGTATCTTCATTGTGGTTTTAATTTGCATCTCTCCGATGGCTAGTGATGCTGAGAATCTTTTCATATGTCTCTGGCCCTCTGTATATCCTCCTTGGGGAAGTGTCTGTTCAAGTCCTTTGCCCATTTTTTACCTCCTTGGGGAAGTGTCTGTTCAAGTCCTTTGCCCATTTTTTAATTGGGTTGCTTGTCTTCTTAGAGTGGAGCTGTGTGAGTTCTTTACATATTTTGGAGATCAAACCCTTGTCTGAGGTGTCATTGGCAAATATGTTTTCCCATATAGTTGGTTCTCTTTTCATTTTAATTCTGTTTTCTTTAGCCATGTAGAAGCTTTTCATTTTGATGAGATCCCATTTATTTATTATTTCCTTTATGTCCCTTGCTTTAGAGGACATATCGGTGAAAATATTGCTGTGTGGAATATCAGATTTTCCTATGTTCTCCTCTAGCACTTTTATGGTATCGCGACTTATATTTAAGTGTTCTATCCATCTTGAGTTTATTTTTGTTTATGGTGTAAGTTGGTGGTCAGGTTTAATTTTTCTGCATTTGGCTGTCCAGATGTCCCAGCACCATTTGTTGAAGAGGCTATTTTTACTCCATTTTATGCTGCTTCCCCTTTTGTTGAATATTAATTGACCATAGAGATTTGGGTTTATTTCTGGGCTCTCTGTTCTGTTCCATTGGACTATGTGTCTGTTCTTATGCCAGTACCAGACTGTTTTAATTATAGTGGACTTGTAATACAGTTTGATATCGGGTATTGTAATTCCCCCTACTTTACTCTTCTTTCTCAAAATTGCTGCAGCTATTTGGGGTCATTTATGGTTCCATGTAAATGAATTGTATCTATAAATCACTTTGGGTAGTATGGACATTTTGATGATGTTAATTCTTCCAATCCATGAACATGATATATGCTTCCATTTATGCATGTCTTAATTTCTTTCTTCGGAGTTGTGTAGTTTCTGAGTATAGGTCTTTTACTCTCTTGGTTAGGTTTATTGTTAGGTACTTTGTTTTTCTTGCTATACCAAATGGGATTTTTTCCCCTGATTTCTGTTTCTGGTATTTCATGTACAAATTCTGGTGTTGGTGTACACAAATGTCTTCAATTTCTGAATATTGACTTTGTATTCCACTGCTTTGTCAAATTCACTTCTTAGCTTAAGTAGTTCTTGGGTGGAGTCTATAGGGTTTTCTGTATAAACTATCATGTCACCTGTAAACAATAACAGTTTTACTTCTTTCTTTCCAGTTTGTATGTCTTTTGTTTCTTTTCCTTTTCTGATTGCTGTTGAGGACTTCCAATACTATATTGAATAGAAGTCAAGAAGGCAGACATCCTTGTCTTGTTCCTGATCTTAGTGGGAAAGCTTTTAGTTTTTGTCCATTGTGTACGATGTTGGTTGTATGATTTTCATATATGGTCTTTATTATGTTAAGGTATGCTCCCCCTACTCCCACTTTGCTGAGTGTTTGTAGCATAAATCAGTGATGTACCTTATCAAATGCTTTCTCCACATTTACTGATATGATCATGTGATTTTTACCTTTCCTTTTTATGTGATATATTATGTTTACTGATTTGTAAATATTGTACTATCATTGCATCCCTGGGATGAATCCCACTTGATAATGATGTGTGATCTTTTAATGTATTGCTGGATGTGGTTTGCCAATATTTTGTTGAGGAGTTAGCATCTATGTTCATCAGTGATATTGGCCTATAGTTTTCTTTTTGTTAACATTTATCTTTTCCTATTGTGATTTTTAAAACTTAATTGAATAAGCCTTGCCTTTAAGTAACTTTAATTTTTCTATATGTATTGGTCCAGTTAATGCCAAAATGTTATTTTGCTATTTTATAGTTATAATCCTTTCCTTGAACATTTAATTTATCCCCATTTAAAATTTTCTTAGATTGTATACTTACCTGGTAAGGGAGATACCATGATTATGAAGGTGGTTTTCCCAGTGTGAGGCTCATTCATTGCACTCTGGATGTGCTGACCCCTGAGATTTCTCCAAATGTGGGAAACTTGACTACACAATTTGTGGTAGTGAGGACTGCATTCGCGCTTTCCCCTGAAAAAAAAATTTTTAGATAGTTAGTTTCTTTGTTTTATCTGTTTCCTTGTTTTTGCAATTGTGATTAAAATAATATATGTTTATATTATCTTAACAGTTGATTTTATACTTTTAATACATTGTAATAAACTCTAAATTTACTTAATGTCTTTATTCTTATATATTGTTTATAAATCTTCTACATCAACTTATTTTTGACACATCCTCCAATTAGGATTTATTAAAATGATAATCAATTTACCTAAACTTCTTTCTGTTACTTTGTTCACTGTGGCTTTTTCTGGTACTTCTGTTTTAAATATTTTTCTTACTGTAATTTATCCTGGTTTTTTTTTCAGTGAATATTTATGAATTCTAAACTTATAGCCTTTTAATGTCTTCAAATAACTTTTGCCCTCAGTTTTGGAGAATGACTTACTTTGATCTGGAATTCTTAAGTAATAGCTATTGCCTAGCAGAACTATGAAAATATACCCCCAACTTTGGCATTATATTTGATATTCAGAAGTTTGCTCTGTAAAATGACAAAATACCATAGATTTGAATAATTTCCTCCATCATAAAAAGTAAGAGAATTCATTGAGCAAAAAGATGGGTGTTTGTTTTGTGTAGGTCTGTGTGTTGGCATGTGGGAATGGCAGTGGATGTAGCTGATAAAGTGAAAAACTGCAATACATCATGAATGTGGGATCAACTGTGACTGGTAGTCCACATTTTTCTCAGCACATAATTTCTTGCTTTACTTTATGCTAAACAGAAGACTCAGCCTAGCATCAGCTAGATACAATTGTGGTGTTGATGATAAGTATCAGGAAAGGTGGTTAGAGATGATATCTTGCATGACTAGCAAACAAATCACTGCTCTCTTTCTCGATGCCTAATCCTAGCAGAATGCATTGCCCTGATAGATGCATTGTCATGATAGATGGCATGGAAATACTCACTTGAGAGTCAGGTACTGAGAGAAAAAAGAAGTAGTTAGCTCCAGATTGCCACACTAGAATTTTTTTCACCTTATTATGTGATCATCTGTTCCATAAACTTATCTTGATAAGCACAAACTGATTTTCTTATGCTTTCCTGTATTTTTTCACGTACTTTGAAAAACAAGCTAGCAGCCCTGGCTGGCATAGCTCAGTGGATTGAGTGTGGGTTGAGAACCAAAGTGTTGCAGGTTTGATTCCCAGTCAGGGTACATGCCTGGGTTGCAGACCATGACCCGCAGCAACCGCACATTGATGTTTCTCTCTCTCTCTCTATCTCCTTCCCTTCCCTCTCTAAAAATAAATAAATAAAATCTTTATAAAAAAGCAAGATGCTGCATCACATCTTTCTTAAAAAAAAAGAAAAACAAGCTAGCACATAATTTCATGTGCAAGTTCATTGTTAATTCATATCAAAAATATTGGCTGGGGACATTCTTTTCAGATGTATGGAATACATTGGTAAATAGGACATCAAAGGTCTATCTATGCCTTACTTAAACTTTTACATTAAAAATGAAAAATAGGTAAGAGGGGTGCAGGGCAGAGGACAATAAAGGGGGAAACTGGCACAACTGTAATAGCATAATCAAAAAATATATTTTTAAAAAAACTAACAAGAGGAATGACTTTAACACAGAACAAGTTTAATTGAAAGATATTTTGAAGGAAGTTCTTTAGCAAGAAGAGACATTGTAATGGACTAAATTTTGTCTTCCTCCCAAACATTCACATGTTGAAGCCCTCAATGTGATTTATTTGGAAATCAGGCCCTTAGAGAGAAAATTAAGGTTAAATAATAAGACTTGGCCCCTAATACAAGAAGATTTGTGTCCTTATAAAAAGAGCTACAGGTACCAGATATTTGAGCATGCACACAGAAATGAGGTCATTTGAGGACAGATTTGGTAGGCAGCCATTTATTAACCAGGAAGAGAAGCCACACCGAGAAATCAATCCCAACAGCACCTACATTTTGTACTTCTAGCCTTCAAAACTGAGAAAAATAAATTTCTATTATTTAAGCTACCCCAACTGAGTTATTTTGTTATGGTAGCTCCAGCAGAATAAGATAGAATGAACCCAGGAGGGAGTACATATAGAAAATAATTGTGAGTTAATATTCTTATTAAATTCATTGTTATTTTAAATACACAGTTATCAAAATAATTAAAACTATGTCAACCAACAAGAATGTATAAAATAAAACAGGTGAAAACAGCCAAAAGTTGGCAAGAATTTGGCATAATTGAAATTCTCATTGGCAACTGTACCTGATTGGAACCCTGTCAGTACATACTGAAGCTAAATATATACATATGTTCAGATCTAGCAAGTTATACCAGAGAAATAAATGTATATTCACCAAAGACATATATAAGAATGCCCATAGAATGTTTTTCATTATAGCTGGAACTAGAAAAAATAAACTAAATGTCCATTCATATTAGAATGGTTAAATAACTATCATATATTAACATAGTAGATTGATAGACATTAACATGTCATTGATGTCATTGTCATCAATGACAATGAGCTGTTCACAACTACATGCATTAAAATGGATGAATCACACAATTTTGATGTAAAGCTGTCAGATACAGAAGAGCATATGCCCTATTATTACATTCATGTAAAAAAAAAAACAGGCAAAACTAATTGTGGACAGCAGGACCAATAAAATGATGTTGGTCCAGTCAAGATAAGATAAAGTGTATAAAACAAAATGGCACCACTCATGTCAACCAAGGTGGCTGCCAGTGAGCCATTACAATTTGGTTCAAGAAGGAAACTAGCTAAGTCATGCCAGACATATCTGTCAAGGAGGAACACCTAAGATATCTACACATATGACCAGAACACCTATCTGCAGAGCAGGAGCCACTCATAGGTAGGCTCCTGGGGAAATTTCTCACTTGCTACCAGGGGTCTCAAGAAACTTATCAAGAGACCCAAAGAGATGGAATACATGACCCTCAAGTGTATAATTGAGGTAGACTTCAGATCACTGCTGAGACAGCTGAGCTCCACACACCAAACTGCTGCTCCATGCCAAGCTGATCTTTCTTGGCATTGGATCTGCTTTGCTATGTCAAGATTGTACCCTTTCTGACCTGTGAGACTGCCATTCCTTGCAAGATGCTGACAGCTCTCTTGCCCACCATGCTGTCTCCCAAACCCATTGGCTGAGACTCTGGTCTCAGGTTTGTTATCCCACATTGATTGCTGTGTGCTATATTCCTCATAGATTATTAGAGTGTGGGTAGGATATTAGTGTAGGTTGATGTTCTACCTTGAGTGAACCTGTATTCAATAGTAGCTGAGTAAAAAGCATAGTTACCTCATGTGGCTCTTATCTATTCCTTGGTGATGAGTTGTTCCATAGGCAGTTTGCCAAGCAGTCATCCAGCTGGCTTATGGAAAAAACTATATAACACAATCCCTTCTCAAAGAATTATTTGGGAAATGGTCTCTGGAGGTGCTTGTGATACTAGTAATAAATTGTTGGAAGTTAGAAGAGAGATGCAGACAGTTGTGGTTACTGGATGGGAACCTAAGATACGGCTTTTGGGAAGTGGTAATGCTGAAGTTCTTGATGAGAACTTGTTACACAAGTGTACCGTGAGCATTCATCAAGTAATTATGACATATGAATGTACACTACATTACAGTAAAACATTTAAAATATCAATTTGATCTAAAATAAAAAATGTACATAGAAGCTTAAAAACATCAGGTAAGAACTAATAAAGGTGCTTGTCTTGTTTGTGAGGAATGCATAAATATAAATAAACTGAAGATTCTAATAGGTAAAAGTAAACATAAATATATGTCTTATAAATTAAGAGTATCCAATACATGAATAAAAGTATAATATTTGTCTTTTTAATTAACACTAGAAATTCTAGTTATCTGTAGGAATTGGAGATGAAGAAAAAAATTTAAAATCCTTTACATGTTGACACTGTATCCTCTAATCTTGTTAAATTCACACATTCACATATTAAATCATAGAGGGTTTTTTTTTAATTTGAGTAGATTCCTTAGGATTTCTGACAGAGATAAATATGTCAACTTCAAATAAACACAGTGAAACTGTCTTTTTCTTTCTATATTTTTCATTTTTGTCTTGTTTTGTTTTATTTCATGATTTGGGGTCTCCAGAACAATGTTGATTGAAGTAGTAAAAGAGTACATTTTTTGCTTGCCCTCAATCTAAAAGGAAAATATTTAATTCATTAGCTATATGTTTTATTACATACATCCTTTACTAGTTGAGGAAACTTCCATTCATTTTAATTTGCTGAGGGTTTTTTTCATTGTGAATGAGTATTATCTTTTATTCTATTACTATGTTGAATTACACTGATTAATTTTCAACTGCTAAACTAAATTTGCATTCAGAGAATAAACCCTATGGTCATGATGTATTCGTGTTTTTATATAATACTAGTTTGGTTTCTTTGTTTTTTATTTTTTAAGATTTTATTTATTTATTTTCAGAGATAAGGGAAGAGAAGGAGAAAGGAAGAGAAACATCAATGTGTGGTTGCCTCTTGTGTGTCCCCTACCTGACTGGAAACTGAGGCATGTACCCTGTCTGGGAATCTAATAGTTCCTTTTGGTTCATAGGCTGCACACATTCCACCGAGCCACACCAGCCAGGGCTCATTATTTCTGATAAGAAATCAACAGTTATTTAAATGTTGTCCCCTTGTATTTATTCTCTGGATTTTTTTCAAATTTTCTTTTAAATTTTTTTGTCTTTTGCTATTTATTCAATCTGTGACAAATCCTTCCTTTTCTTTGTCATATTCTGTTTTGAGTGTACTAGGCTTCTAGAATCTCTAAGTTGTTTTTCATTAAACTTGGGAAATTTTCAACAACTATTTTTCAAACATATTTTCTGCCCTCTCTTCTCTTCTTCTGAACCTTAAACTTTATACATGCTAGGCTATTTGATATTGTTCTACAAGCCCTTGAGATTGTTTTCATTTTTCTTCAATCTGTGTTGT